GAGAACATCACTGATTTGGGTAAGTGGAAAGGCGTGTGTGTTTTGTGGATTGGATTGTGGAATGCAACGGGTTAAAAGAGGGCGAATTTTGAAATTAAATAAAAATAGTAGGTTTTTTTTTATTAAGCCGGTAAAGATCTGGCAAGCTTCGAAAACCTCGTCACTTGAGACTGAGATATAAAAATTTTAAACTTTAGGAGTTTGAAAGAATCTCCGGAATTTATTACCAAAAAGTCCCGCCTTTTGGCGACGAATAGTGCGAGCTAAATGGGAATTAATGAAAGTATTAAGACACCCAAGCCATATATAAATCCGTTGATATTTATCTAACTAGAGATAGGATTCCCAGAGATCAGGAGACCATTTACATAGCTTTCAGTCGCATTGTTATAGGAAGTTGCAAATATAGAAAAGAGTTGAAAGATTCTTCGCAGAAAGAGAATACTACTCGTCTCCAATATTAACACGTCTGCCTAAATTTTCGGAATTTCGAATCGCACTGTTCCCATTACACCTTTAGCACTCAAGGCCAAAAGGGACTCAAAAGCGGCTTCCTNTAACTAATTTGTTAAAGTCAGACCTTCGAAGCTTTAGCTCAGCTACCCATCCGTACAAGGCTCAACTATATAATTCATAACTACAAATTTATTGAAATTAAATCGCAGTTTAAATACTTTTGGCGTACCGAAATTTTAACCTTCTATCATCTTCTTCTAATTCTACACCCATTTTCGTAACGCGTTAGCATTTCCCCTATTCTAATCATACTTTTCTCTAAATTTCAGCTTCCAGCGTGCTGGCCAACCGCGGCGATATGTACATCCTAGTAGAGTCCGTTATGACTTACGAATTTGATTATGTGCAGTACTGGGGCTCACACGAAGGCGTGGCACGTGGCTTGCCCACAAAAGTCTACGAGAAAGATGTCACCGTGCCAACCGAAGTCAAATGGGGTTTGAAATATGTCGAAAAACGATCCGAAACGAAGTCGGTGCATACAAAACTCTGGCCAGGCACAGCTTTAAATGTTACCTTGAAGGGTAATTATGTGACGCTGGAAGCGCCCTACAGCGCCAAATTGTATGCTTTCTATTATGGCATTGACGATAGTGTGTCGCGCAAGATCACAGCGGAGGTAAGTGCAGCATGTGAGTGTTGGTTCGGGTTGAAGATTTGGAAAGATTTCAACACAGTCCAAACACATTTGATTTAATATATTCTTCCACTTAAAAGCATATTTTTCTTAACATTTTTTTGCCTACTTTTAGGTGCGCAAGAGCTACTTGAAAGACGTCAAACTTGAATTCAGTCCCGTCTATTGGATTGAGAATGGCACCTTTGTACCGACCACTACCACAACTTCAACCACATCCACTTCCACCACTACGAATCCCACTACAACCAGCCGCGAACCAGTGCCTATGCATGAACCACCAGTCGTGCAATTGAAAAATATCGGCGAAACACATTCGGGTCCCGATTCGTTGGAGAAATCGTTGCAGGACTCACCGCTCAGCAATGAGATACCCAGCGATGTACCCGAGAATTTGGCTGCCGAACAGCAAAAGACTTTACTGGCTGGCGTAACGGTAACAGGTAGTGGGCAACAACAAATACAACAACAAATATATGCGCTGCTCATAGCGCTGTTTGCGGTGACGCTGTGCGAGCGTATGGCGCTGCGACGCATTTAGATTGACTTGGTGACCGCGCGAAGGGAATTAGCCGGCGTTTGGACGCAGAGTTGTTGAGGACTGGCGAAGTGTTGGGCAGCTTTCGGAGTGGGGTGTTGTAGGCTTAAGTGATTCAAATGGAAGTTTTGCATATGATTTGCTAGCTGTTGCACCTGCAGCTGTCTAGTGCAGCGCTGTTTGTTTATTTTTCTACTTTTTATTATTATTATTATTTTTTTAACAAAGCTTAGTAGTCGAGTATTGTATTTGAAAGTTCACTTTTGAGTTTACGAGTTCGAATTCGTTTTCTTTGTTAGCTACTGATAAATTTTGAGCTAAGAAATGCATATTTTAAAATCAAAAAAAAGGTAGGGAAAAAAGTGTGGGAAAAATAAGATACAATAAGCAAAAAGCGAAGAGGAATACAATAAAAATATAAAATTAAACAAAAATGTATTCTAAGTAAGAAAATGCGAAATATCCCAAATTTTGGACGCAGAAATTAACACAAAAAGATAATAGGCATTGTAATGGGTATAAACTGCATTAAGCGTAGAGTTTAGCGTTTAGTGTTTAGTTGTTGTTGTACCTGTTTTAACCGTCTGCAAATTGTTTAGCGCAAGCGAAGCAAAATGTACGCCCGTATTTGTAAATGGGAGACAGAAAAGAAAAAAAAATGTGAAAAAGAAAGCAAAAGCAAAGCAAATCCAATAAAATCATACAAATACTTATAACACAAAAGTTATGAAATAGTTAAAAAATATAGAAAAGGCTACTAACGACAATTTTTGAATTTTGAAAATGCTTTTTAAGACGGTTTGGATAGGCTAAGTACATACATACCTACATAACTATGTTCATATACATATATATATATATCTGTGCCTTTCAATTAAAGTGGCCTAAGTCGGGATATGCTCCTTTTCCTTTAAAACAACATTTTATTGGGTTCCAAAACAATATTTTATCGTTTAACTAGCCCTATTTGTAGTTGGAGAAGCTCTTTTAGTGGAAGCTTTCTACAAAAAATTTCAAGAGAAACTGATTATTTTTTAATAAATCTTCTAAAGTCACTTAAGCTATTTTAATTGAACGGCACAGATATGTATGTATGTATGCATGTATGTAAAACAAAACAGTTTAGTTATAGAACAAATAATAAATGGCTAAAGAAGCAAATGAAGTGAATAGTGTATGTATTTATTTACGAAATTCGCGTTAAGTTATATTATTGTGTAACATATATACATAGATACATATAAATAAATATGTATTTACATACATAAATAAAGTGGTAATAATGATAATGAAATTAAAACTAATTATTTTAAAGATATTTTTAATGATGGCATAAGGGTGGTTCTTAAAAATATCAAAATCTTAATTTTTTATAAGGCACCCCTTTATTTTGCTCTACGTACAAAATAAAGACATATAAGAAAATTAAAAATTGTGGAATAATTTTTAGGGGTCACTACCAGGGTTTAAAAAAAAATAAATTTTTTTTACACGCTAAAATTAGACAAAACTTTACCAGTTACAACACAGCATGTTTTGGTCCTATAAAATAAGTGGTGTGTCGTTGGATGCATTTTAATTGTCTTTCCAACGAAGTACCGCCTGAAATGCTAATGAAATCATACCCCGAAACATACAAAAAATAAAATTACCACAAAAAAAAAACTGCAGAAAGAAAAAATAAAAATAAAATGAATAAAAAATGCGTTTTAAGCTTAAGAAGTCCATATTGATTCTTCCCTATACATGAGTTTCTTGGCATTTGTTCAACATAATTATTTGTAAACCAGTGTTATAGAAAAACTCAAACAAGCGACAGTATTTGGGGCTTGATATGGCATGTTAAACCCATTTGGCTGTGACTATGACTTAATACAAAGTTTTCAACAATATCGAGCTCTAATCGCCAAAAAACGTAAGCGATATTTTTTCCAAAAATTTTATTTTTGATGCAGAAATGCATCTACATCCGCTTGGAGTTGGCGATTAGGGCTCGATATATCAAGTCGTCAGATTTAAAATTTTTCCAGCCCTGGTAGCGACCCCTGACAATTATTTCAAAATTTTCGTGGATATCTTTATTGTATGTAGAACAAAATAAATGGATAACTCATACAAAATTTAGGTGTTGATATTTTAAGTACCACTCTAATATACATACATAATAAATGGTGTAAAGCAAATCTTCTTTTTGTTATACATAAATACATTCCTCGAATTTCCGAAATTTGGCTATTTTAAAATATTTGTTTGAAAAAAGATTAAAAATTTAATTTAGCTGTCTAACTCATGCTAAAAATGTCATCTACCCATTTTAAAATATTATATATGTATGTACAAAAACGAAATATGAAAGAAAAATTTAAAAAAAATCCCAAATTTTATTGTAATATTAACAACTCAAAAAAAAATACTTTAAACATAGAGATAATTTTACCAAGAAACTGTAAATCTGAAGTTAACTCATATTTTATAAATTTTTATCGAAAAAAGAGAGCTATTTGTTAGAAAAAAAATGGATTTTTTCCGCTTTTTAACTTGCGCTAAAATTGTATCTCCTTATTTATTATTTTTTTTTTATTTCTAAAAGAAAATACACATTTTATCAGGTTTTATGGAAAAAATATGGCGTTTGTTAGACATAGTTAATTTCTTCACGTTTTAACTTTTTCTTAAATTAATATCAGCTAATTTAAAACATAATTAAAAAATTCATTGAATTTCTAAAATTTAGCTATTTTAAAGGTTTTAAGCCTCGAGTAATTTTGTTGCTAAACTCTATCTAAAAATAATATTAGCTCATTTTAAAATATTAAGGCGTATTTCTATTTTCGTATGAATCGAAAATTTGAAATTTTTCTAGAAAATTATGGGAAAATTTCATGATTTTCGATTCGTGCGAAATAAGAATACGCCCCATTATGTACAAATAAAATATCCGAAGATAAAATTGAAAAAAAAAATCCCAAATTTGTTTCAAAAGTCACAAAGGTACGGATCATTTTATTAAGAAACTGCAAACTGAAAGTAAGGTAAATTTTATGCAATTTCTTATTGAAGAAAAGATATATGTATGCACATTTGTTAGCAAAATGTGGACTTTTTCCGCTCTTTAACTTACACTAAAATTTATGTCAGCTTATTTTAAAATTTTATTTTAAGATTTTCTAAAACATGAAAAAATTATAAAATTGTATTTAATAATTAGCCATTTGTTGGTCAAATAGTGAATTTCAAATAAATAAAAAGGGCCATTTTGCTGACTACTGGAGGAATTATTAAATCGACAGCCTAAATTTTATGAATTTTGACTGGAAAAATCGTTTGTTTAAATGAAGTTTAAAGCTTTTTCGCCCTTTGGCTTACGCTAAAAATAAAATATAAAATGAACCAATGCTACGTTTTTCTCTTTTTCAGTACAGAAAAATCGACTCATTGACCAAAAAAAAAAAACATTCAAATCCAATCCACTTGTTAACATTAAAGTCGTTTTTCTCGAAGACTTATTTTCGAACTGCAGCACAGTGCCGCGACTCCATACAAATGATGGACAAAAATAGAAGGAGTGGTCGGAATTGGCTGAAACTTCACAACTAGAAGTATTATGCCCCTCTAATTTCAAAAATGAAATCGGTTTTTCTGTACCGGTTACTCATTTCNAGGTACCTTTCAACTTGCGCTGTCTAATTCATTCGTACATACATATGTATGTATGTATGTACAGAATCGGTCATACCAATCGCATTTTTCAATAAAAACCCAGTTCATTCTTTATCAAACCCCATGTAAACACAAGTTTAAATGTTTTCAGAAAACTAAAAATTTTTCTGAGCATACAGTTTTATAGTCCATTCAAGTTTAGTGCAATAATGTGCAAGTTTCAAGGAGCTAGAAATTACCGTTGATTTTTTAGTTTTTTTTTATCGCCTTTGCTTCCATATAACGAATAAACACAATTTATTTTTATATGGTAGAAAACCGCAACACCATGGCAAAAAAAATTTTGTATTTGAAAAAAATATTAATATAAAACCTACAGATTTTTTTGCTGGGCGTTATTTTAACAATAAATTTTAAAAGTTATTTGCTTAGCACACTGAAAGAATAAAGGTTATTATATAATATTATATTATAATTAAAGGTTATATTCACCAACCACTAGAATGTCTTCGAAACGGACATTCTATTTAAAAAAAAAATTTAAGAACAAATGGCAATTCGTTCAATTTTTATTGAGTATTAAGAATTTTCAACATGAGTGAAACATTTCGGTTAACCTCTGCATACAGACGTCGTTTTTAATTGAATAAGTCAATGTTAGAGTAAAAAAAAATCGGATATTTCTTTTCTGTTTTTGGCTTTGTTCTTCTCTGTTCGATCCATAAAGTCTGACTTATATAAAATTTGTTAAAAAAATTAAAGAAACATAAAGAAGTACAGAAATATATATATACTAAGTTGAATTCTTTGCTAATTGCTTTGGGTTCTTCTATTATTTTTCGGATTTCACATGGATTCGATTGCACTAATTTTTCTTCTATAAAAGAGAATACAAACTTTATTTAATTAAAAACTCTTGAACTCCAAATTTTTTCTTACATTAAAGCTTTCTCCCATTTATCATTTATTAATTAAAATTGGTTTTAAAAATGTATATTTTATTTTAGACGTAATATACGAAATACTAATGAAGAAAGTAGCAAAATAAGCATAAGTAAAGGGAAATGATAATAAAAGCCACAAAACTATGTAAACAAATAAGTAACAATGTGTTTGTATGTATGCTTGCATAGTAGTTATAAAGAAATCAGTAATTTTATATTATCACTTTAAAAATAACAAAATGTTTGTAAAATATATAGTATGTATAATTTAATTATTATAATTTAATAATAATATAATTATGTTTACAAATATAAAAAAAAATGTGTTTTACTTAACTTTTTTGTTGAAAATTGGCGTATGAATGCGTATAGTGGCGGCCAAAAATGGATGAATGGTGTTTCGTGTTAAATATTTACAGTGTTTTTCAAGCTAACCAGCTTAACAGAAACCATATAAATCACACTTTTAAACTTTATACAGAATTCAGAAAAATTCCACAAATTTGTATCTAAATTTCGAGATTTTTAACCAGAATTATTAACAGTATTATAAAATTTTAGTAAAATTAGTGGAAGTTTTGAGCGGCTAAAGAATCGCATTGATTTTTAATCATTTTTTTTACTGACGGCTTTTTCGGTTTTTTTCATATAATAATAAGAATTTTAGGAAAACTGGCGTTGACTTTTTTTATTTTTTTCGCAATAAGTCTTGAGGATATTCTTCCACAAGAAGTTCATGTTTATTTAGCAAAAAAGTTCAAAACGCCGGCAACAAAAAAAATATATATATATGTATTAAAAATCATATTTTAGCCACCCAAAACCTACACTGATATTACTAAAATTTTAGTACTTCAGACTTCAGTACTTCCAGACTTCGGTTCTTATCACACTAATGTACAACCCTAATGTCTGTAAATTAAAGCTCACCAAAAATCATAAAATAATTAGATTTCTTTGAAAGATTTGGGGTATGCAGTTTTTACCTCATTCAATTCAGGTATAATAAAGGGCAAGTTTCAAATGACTAGAAGTTACCGTTGATTTTCTGGAATTTTTTTGTCGGCGA